AAGATTATGCATGGGAAAGAGCAGGTAGAGAAAGAGGTACTTTTCTCCCTTTCTCACAATGCAAGAACTCGTGGGCACGCCATGAAATTGCTGAGCGGTCGGGTTAGAACGGATAAAAGGAAGTACTTCTTCACCCAAAGAGTGATTAGCACATGGAATTCACTGCCACAGGAGGTGGTGGCGGCTACAAGCATGGACGGCTTCAAGAGGGAATTAGATAAGCATATGGAGCAGAGGTCCATCGGTGGCTATTAGCCACAAGGTATAGATAGGGGCTCTGGGGCAAGTGATGCTCTGTCATCTTGGTGCTTGGGGGGGGGTCAACAGTGGGAGGGCTTCTAATGTCCTGGCCCCACTGGTGGACCTCCTGATGGCACCTGGTATTTCTGGCCATTGTGTGATACAGAGTGTTGGACTGGATGGGCCTTTGGCCTGATCCAACATTGGCATCTCTTATGTTCTTATGTTAAGTTATCAGTGCACACAGGTAGAGGGTGAACAGCAAATGAGCATACGACCTAATGTAGATGTTTTAATAGATGCAAGAACCAAACAGGAATAACAGGCTAAGTTTATATGGTCACGATCTGTTTGGATTTAATTCCAGGGGGAAACACAGTGAAGCAAATAAACATGTCAGAATTGGAGACTGATGTGTAAATGTATCCTTCTTAATGGTGGGATGCTAAGGGTAATTAACTGAGACCAGGTTATGCACCGCCCGTCTCCTCTCAAGCACAGAGGAAACTAACAGCAGTCTTGGGAAAAAAGAGTGGTTTCTGTTAAGAGCTCTCTCAGCCCCACCTACCTCACAGGTAGGTGTCTGTTGTGGAGAGGGGAAGGGAAAGGAGTTTGAGACACCTTTGGGTAGTGAAGGGCGGGGTATAAATCCAATCTCTTCTCTTCTCTATTCTTTGAGGTACAGTGTTATGTCTCCTCTGTCACCAGAACAAAGAAATACATTTGTTCTATATCTTTGATAGGTAAAGGTTTCCCTTGCTTGAAAGCCAGTCAAATCCGACTCTAGGGATGCGGTGCTCATCTCCGTTTCAAAGCCAAAGAGCCAGCGCTGTCCAAGGACATTTCCGTGGTCATGTGGCCGGCATGACTAAACACAAAGGCGCACGGAACGCTGTTACCTTCCCACTGAAGTGGTACCTATTTATCTACTTGCAATGTCTTGCTTTCGAACTGCTAGGTTGGCAGGAGCTGGGACCAGAGACCGGAGCTCACTCCGTCTTGCGGCACTCGGGTCTCGAACTGCTGAGCTACCGACCTTCCAGCCTGCAGTTCAGCGTCTCAACCACTTGAGCCCACCGCTCAACTATCTTTGATAGTAAAGACCAAATTACATGTAACTGATATCTTTAAATACTAGAGAATATACAGCTCTTTCCCACCAAGGCGCTGGAGATTCCCTAGACCTACTCAGTTCCCCGAATTCTGGAGCACAGCTCAGACTGGAACACATTTTATTTACTATGAATTACCAAGATTTTTACCCCACCTTTCTGCCCCTACAGAGCCACCTAGGTGGGACATATGACATGACTTTAAACTGAATCAGAGAGCCATCAGAGTCAGTATTGTCTACTCAGATGGGCTGAGGTCTTTCACAGCTACCTGATTATTCTAATGAGAGATGCCAGGATTGAACCTAGGACCCCCTGCATGCCAAGTAGTTGCTCTATCACTGAGCCATAGTCCTTTCAACTAAATGTGCTGGATTTTGTTCTACATCGTACTCAATGTAAGACTCTCTCCAAAACAATCATTTTTTAAAAACCATTCACTAATGATGCTTGTAATTGCTCCACAAATCCAAATCAAGCAGAGGAAAGTTCATCCATCTTTAATTTTAGCATTATTAGAACCAACTGTCTGTTGCCAGTTTCTGTGTTCTACCACAGGTTAAATCATGAGCTGTTACACTGTGAGCATTTTTAAAGATAATTACTAATTTTAAGAAATCCACTTCTCCACAAGTGTCTAATTCAGATGATTAAAGTAGGAAGATTACATAATCTGGCATCTAGACAGCACTGGCCTGTGTGGTAACTAATCAGATTTTCTTCCTTTAGTTCATAATTCAGCAGAAGCCCAAAAGTTAATTTTCATTCTCTGCTAATATACAGATTTTGAGACCAATCCTTTCTGATTAATATCCCAACCCCATGCACGTTTGTTCAGGAGTCCAGGAGCAAATTATATGTTACACATGTAATAAAGTCTAAACAGTTGTCTTCTTTTAATGAAAAATGAATTGCAATTTTGAGAGGTGAAGGAAGAGGAAGTGCTTAACCCCGCTTTTCTGGTAGTTTTGGCTAGAATCACACACAGCAGCTTTTGTTCCAATAGGGATATAGAGGCATACTTTGTAAATATGAACCTGGTGTAAAGCAACTTAGTGAAACAAGACTGAGTGGATAAACTCTTGATAGGAAAAGGATTAAACACTCTGCTTTTCCACCCACAAGTATATTATTCTTCTGCTCAACTTCCTAACACTGCTATTCATTTGTGGGAAACTGGCCTGAGTTTTTAATGAACCCAATTTTTGGTTTCCGTTGAGAATGAGATCAATGGAACTCTCTTCAAAACAAGTGTGCACGGGAGACGCTGAATTTCAGATATTAAAGCCAACATAGACCCACCCACCCCTGGACAAAATTCCCTCTGGACTTCCCATCACACCTCATCTGGGCCCCAGGCACATGACTACTATTCCTCCCATGAAAGCTTGTCCAGCAACCCAAGCCCAGAATTCTGTACCCCTAGTTTTGTCATCTTAGCTGCCTTGGACCAAAATACTGTGATAGGGTAATATGGGATTAGCCCTTAGCTCCAACCGCTTGGGTTCAATGAAATGTCTTGCCTTGGATCACTTAACAATTCTGCCTATATAAAGAAGGAAGAATGGGCTAATGCTAATATTGCGAGCTGTGTGGGTTGACATTCCAGCTCAAAAGCAAAGACAGGATGAACCCAGAGCCGCAGAACTGTTTTGCTTTCTAGTTATTAGGCTTTACTTATCCAATTTTAGGGTTATAATTCACTAGTTTATAGCTTTGTTTATTTCACATACTGCAAGTTAAACAATGGCGGGAGCCATTCTTCAAGGTCTGGGGGATGATTGCAAGCATCTAAGAGTAAAAACCATTATCCCTTTAGAGCCCTGCCCTTCTTGATTGCTTGCTTGTATGCTTAGGTGTGTTATGGTTATGGTGCGTTATTTTTATGAATGTATATCAGATGTCAATGCTATTGTACTGTACTGAAGTTGTTAAAATTAATAAAAATTATAAATTCAGAGGGGGGGAGGGAGAGAGGGTGCTGCCTTCTGTAGAAAAAGCATTTGAGAGACCTACGGGGGCAACAATACTGTCTGTTTGTAGGAATCCTTCTCCTCCAATCCCCTGCAAGTCCTATAACTAGTATCTGGTGGTTTGCTTCAGGTCACCAGCCTTTCCAGTCCTTAGCAAAGGGCTGGCTGCTGAAGGGAGGTATTAGCTAGGTGCATGGTAGAAGGAGCAGGGGACGAAAAAAATCTCCTTCCACAAAGCCCTCGGAGTCCACTTGGAGGCAGCAACTGACAGCACTCAGGTATTTTGATCTGCCCCCTCAAACCAAACATGAGCACTTGGAAAATATTTGTATTGGACTGGGAAGGAACCTGCTGCCTGCAACACGACCCCTATAAAAATGGTCCATCATCACAAGTTTAAAACTTTCCCATGTTGAACGTTCTTGCAACATATGGCAGGCCCTATGAAAACTTGCATGCACAGCTTGCAAAGAAACCAGACAGAGGCATGCGCTAGTGGAGAAAGGGCGTGAAGGAGAAATCCTCCCTCTGCTCAGTGATTGAGCAAAGGTTTTCCCATTTGCCTTGAGCAAGATTCATCGAGACAGGGATCCTGGTGCTTGACTAGGATCCTTGCTGCAGCCCTTTCTTGCACTCTCCTATGTTCACCATGATCAGTGTTCCCTCTAAGCTGAGTTAGTGTGAGCTAGCTCACAGTTTTTTAGCCTCTGGCTCACACATTTTTGTCCTAGCTCAGGAAGGAGGGCTCCAGAACAAACTAAATTATGCAGGAGCCAAATTGCTCGCTCACAACTTTAATGCAAGTAGCTCACAAAGTAGAATTTTTGTTCACAAGACTCCACAGCTTAGAGGGAACATTGACCATGATGTCCTCCAAGCCATTCTGCACTAAAATCGAATTCAACCTTCTTTTTAATCCAGGGTTGTTGGGGTTTTTTTTTCCTATTCTGTACTAAAATTGACTCCATCCTTCTTTTTATTCCGGTTCCCCCCCTCCATTTCTCTGTTACATCACCTTCCTTCAGCGGTCAGCCCGGTTTCAGCCTGCTGTCGCCCTGGGTTATTTGGACGCTGTTTTGCCCTGGACTTAAACTGCCTCAACTCGAACACTGAGAAAATCTGGAGTGGCAGGCGAATGCAGAAAGGACCTAGATCTCTCAAGGAGACAATGGAATGGGGGGGGGGGTTTGAAAGCAAAGATAACTTTCTGTCTTTCTTCACTCTGCCCTTAACATCTACCATGACGCACCACACATCCAAACCTGTAATACAGAATTCTAAACATCTCTTTTTGTAGCAGGAACTCCTTTGCATATTAGGCGACACACCCCTAATTTAGCCAATCCTCCAAGAGCTCACAGTAGCCCCTGTAAAAAGAACTCTGTAAACTCTTGGAGGATTGGCTACATTAGGGGTGCGTCGCCTAATATGCAAAGGAGTCCCTGCTACAAAAAGAGCCCTATGAGAGCATGAATAAAAGCAGCAGGAATCCTTCTTCTAGTCCTCCATCTCAGAGTTCGTGTTTTCCCCCAGAACAGTGAAGCAGTATTCTGCCTCACTGAAATGCAGGGCCAGGCATACCTTCTCCAGTATGAATGTATTTTGCAATATTATTAGAAGAAGCAAGTGTGAATCAGAAGGAAAGAAACAGGGAACAGCAAACCCACAAACTCACACGTTGGTGGTGAACACTCCATAGATCAAATCTTGCTCAGGAAGATAAAAAGTGCTCTGCAGTTCGTTGTAGTAGAAAGGGATTTCCCCAGAGCGCGAGCAATTCAGGCGAGCCTTCATGAACGTCGTCCACGTGTCCTCCAACAAAAATCTTCCCCCAATGTCATTTTTGCAAACCCTCGCCACACGAGAATAGACCGTTTTCCCACAGTCGTGCTCAACAGCATTCTCACGGAAAAAGAAGTAAGTGAACAAGCCAATGTCATAGGCGGCGATGAAATTGGGCTCTGGAGAGAAATTAAGCCATAAAACACAGTGAGATTTACATAGCAGGGGGAGAAAAAGTGAGATTTACAGAGGATGTGGGGCCAGAAGTTCATGAGTCGTTGGAAGATGGGAAAGAGGAATACATGTCTCTTTCACAGCATCTAAGAAAGACTGGCACTCTATGGGCTAGTTCACTTATGCACATTCACCACTTCATAGCTTTGGCATCAGGGGGGGGGGTCTGGTATACACCATCGCAAGTCACACGCAGAAGAATTCAGTGGAGTCCAGTGCAATCCTATGCAAAAACCCAGTTTCATCTTATGTGCTCATACAAGAGTACTGTTGCACAGGATTGCACTGTAAAGTGGTTTACACGCATGTGAGAACTGGCCCTATGAAACAGATATACAGCATGTTTTAATGGCAGGGGGGAGTCACAGAGGGGAGTCACAGAAGCCTTGTCTACAAATGAAGAATCACATGATGGAATGTTCCCCATATTAAAAGAAAAACAAGTCCCTAGATGCGGAGACTGTCTTAGAGGCTAAGCTTCTCCTCGACATCTGTTTGTCTTTGGGTGGAGAGACTTTTTTAACATAGGGAGCATAGAGCGATGGGATTCCCTGTCTGCAGTCTGAAACGGCGTACAGCCCGGACATGGTTTTACCCACTTCTCTGCTGCTCATGCAGACCAGGCAGTGGTCCGATCCATAACAACTTTCAAAAAACAGCTGAGGAGATGGGGGAGGGAAATAGCACCTTAAGGCATTCTTCCTGTTTGTTAGGGCGTTCTTCCACAAACTTGCTGGGGATGGCTGAACAGAGATAAACCCCTGGGATCGCGTAATAATGATAATGGACTTTAGGTCTGGTTCAAGTTAACAGATGTTGGGGGGGTGGTTTGGTTAGTTTGTG